ATATATACATATATAAATATATATATATATATATATATATATATATATATATATATATATATATATATAGATATAAAGATAAATAAATAAATAAATATATATAGGCAAGCTATGCAACATCACATCTCAGGTTTAAGAATGACATACTTGATGAAGTCTCTCAGCCTGTCCACGAGTATGTTGATAGATATTGTTGGGCGTGTCGGGCACTCGAAGGCGGCCACTGCGCGTTGTTTGTTCGGTTTATTGTCTCGCACCAGCCACCCAATCAGATACGCCGCGTACGCCTATCGCACAAAGTGCCAGTGTTAGGAACGATACAATCGAAATTTATACAAAGGTAGCCTAAGTATATCCATAGAAATATATTCTTGTGTATCTGGCAAAGTCAATCCTATTCGATGCCAATTCTCTATCCTTGGTACTAGAATGGAGAGTATAAAATAAAATTGCGCACATGACCTACTCACTCTTAAATGAAGAGATTGGCGCCTAAATCCCGAGACAGATGTTGCCGGTGAATCAATAAAATATTCTCGATCCAACAAAGCTCTCGAAATACAAGAATTATAGTCAAGAAGACTTGAAAGATATTCAGCCGACCCAGCAGTTACAAGTTCTTCTACCATGCAACATATTTTGAAACGAACAACCCTATCAGACATCAACCATTATCACACCACCTCAATAACTGAGACTGCAACTGTGCACTTATTCTATACGGAAAACTGTCACCATACATGAAGCACAATCCTGGCTCTGTCATTTTTTTCTGGAGGTTGAGAAACTCCGTACCAGAGCATGTTTGCAATTTCGAACTATCCTGTGCAGTAGCAACATACCATCAGAGTTCTGAGTTCCGTCTGCCTCTGCTGTTGGCGCATTGCAATATCGCGCGCACGCCCACCCACAGGCAGCGTTACCGCCGACCGCATTTCACTCAATGAGCTTTCAGCTTCACTCGACCACATCTCAAAGAGATCGGCCACACGGGCCAAAAAGGAGAGCTGAAGTGCGAAAGAAGTGTAAGGGTGGATTGAATATGCAATTCAAAAATTGGTATACTTTCCAGATGTATCGGCAATGTGAAAATCCAAGGATATCTGGGGTGCGATAGGCGGAAGTTGTTACAATTTCTTCTATATGAAGTGTTATGTGGCCGTGAGAACAATAAAACACAAGACAAGAAGGATGTATATCAATGAAAACATCTGTGTCTTTCTTGCATTTACATTATTGTTCGCATAGGTGCCCCCAAAACTTAAACGATACCGGCTTTTTTGTTGTTGCTCATCATTTGGTGCAATTGCAGTACTTGCACCCAACAGTATCGTCGATAGGTCTCATAGTATCATAGCTTCGGATCAGATGTCGGTCAATCAAAATCGGGGCTTAGTTAACCGAGCGATGTAGATGTCAGGGAATTGGCAACATACCTCGAATCGTTTACAAAGGTATATTTGGTACTCATATATAGTTGTCTACGAGAAGCTACTATAGTTTGAAAGCCCATATTTACAGGAATACTCTAGACTGGTACATATATAGAATACACAAAAATGCAATATTGCACACACATACAATTGTCTACACATTCGCGCGCCTGACATCAGTGCGGACTAACATTGGCAGTTCCACATATGCGTCGTTTTCGGATAGGCATGCCACAATCACACAGACAGGTACCTTCTTGCCGTCCGGCAGCGTAATCTCCATTGAGCATACGCTCTGTCTGGCCTCAGACTCGCACTCGAGCACATTCACCAATAGCCCAAACGTATGCACAAACAGATCGTACTCAACGGACTCTAGCCGCTGCTTTGCCTTTTGCGCCTCCTGTGTATCATGAGGTTATTTTAATGAGCTCAATCACTGGGAGTCAGACGCGTGTAACTTTGAGCTTGTGATATGCGTTGGGAGCAGGTCGGGTGTACTTTTAAATTGTGACAGGAAGTGTTTCATACTTGGGAAAACAGTTGATACAGGTTGACACAGCAGTTTCCTTGTGTATACATATATTCATATAAGCATCGATTTCACCAATGAAACAAAAGGCTATACATCATTGAAAGTACGTGTGCCAATCACCAAAGGTAGATACACATCTACTTGCACGCGTCAATCAGCTCCACCACATACTTCCTCCATCTCTGCCGAGGTCTCAGATTTGGCTTTACCGGCGGAACTCTGGATGCGATCGGTTTGAGTGTCACCTACTGCTGATGATACTGTGGCCACACTGGGGTTTGTTGATGTGTATTGACTTGTTTGCGTGATTGAATGCATGTGTGGGTGTGTACTTGTACTTGCGCTGGCATTTGATTTATCAGCCGATATCTCCGAACTCGTGTCCATACTTTCACTATTGGCACTCGTGTTCCTCAGATCCGACGGCGTGTTGGTTGCCTTGGCAACCCCGTCGATCATACCACCACAGTCATCATCGCGGTAATTCAAATCCACTGTCGCGGTGGAGTTGAAGGTCTCAAGAGATGCCGGTTGTGTGCTAGGCCGTGCGTCTGATTGCACATCTGTCATGTCTGTTATGCCTGCGCTGAGTTGTGAGTCTGTCATGGGTGATAGCAGAGGTGTCTCAGGGGTTGGCTGTGTATCTATGCCTGATGGTGCGTTTGAATACAGTTCCGTACTCTTCCTCGAGAGAGTTTCTGGCCATCTGTGTGTGTGGATGTGGTCGCCCGAGGAGCCCTCCTCAGACCTGTCCACATCGATTATTCCTTTGTTCGCGTTCGTTGCCTCTGAACGGCTTGTTGCGTCACTACTACTCGTGATTATAGCACTGTTAGACCCCTCCGTCCCTAACCTCGTATTCTCACACTTCCTGGCGAGCACCGGTGGCAGTGTAAGTGCACACGTTACCAATATGTCCATCCCATACCCGCACGATTCCACCACGCCCCCTGCGCTCGTGTCGACGTTCTTGTTAGACTCAGTACTCGTGTCTGTACTTGCAATCGCTCTCAATGACACACTCGCGCTTGTGCACGTCTCGACAGAGGTGCATGTAGTCGAACATGTGCACGAGACAGTCTCTGCGGAGGTGCTAAGGCCTGCACCCAAATAGTGTCTCACGCGTTCAATGTGCGTTAGATTCATCAGCACGCGCACACATCCGGTGAGCAGTTTAAGTGCGTCTTCCACCGGCAGCGCTGTTTCGTCGGCTCCAGTTAATATTGACCTGAGTAGTAATAGTGAGTAGTAGACACGAGTATATTGGTACGGGATGGTCTATTCTAGTAGATTATAAGTAAAGCGATTATAAGCGAGATAATGTGATCTGTATCTGATGCAGCTGTCAGGACTGGTAAAGCGGATGTATGAACATGCACGGATCTGTTAAAAGCATTTTTAAAGTAAACAAGCGCATATAAATTCAAATATAGTCGATTATCTGGCACAAAAACTTTAGTAACTTTGCACGCTACGCTTTACGTCAAACTAGACGACAGCATGTTGCATTTATTAACCCATGTATTTTTCAATTAAGTAGATATAAAAAAAATATTTAAAAAGATATCTAATAGATATGAAAAGCAAGCATGTTAGTACAGTTTTTGTGAACGCATGGATATGAACTCTAAATTAGAATATACACGTATACACTGAATAAACATCAGCTTATGGAGATATACGATCGATTATTTGAGACCGAGGACATGTAAACAACTTACAATGGAGCATTTTTTTATAATCCGAAAGCATACTTTAATGCCGGCGCCACGGTATAGACTCAAACATTTGGTATCATTCAGGAATATGTCGTCAGTGATGATTTATTGACAGAAGGCAAGTATTTCGTAGGATTCATATAGTATCACATAGCTTGAAATACCCCTACACATCTGAATAATGATACTATTAACATGCACAAATATGAACATGCTGGGACATAAATATACACATATACCATTCTCAGCTGGTCTTAATCCATACATACCTATCAATATATCTCAGAACTCTAACGAGGTTCTCAGTCAGCTTTAGCAGAAATGGGACGTTCTCCTCCGTCTGTGTGCAACATATACACAAACGATTGAGCCTTATTCATTCTTATTGAAACTAACAAGCACTAAGTGCTATCTGATTGATTCGGCAATGCAACCTCGATCTTGTTTAATTTTAACGATCCAGCAGTACTACATCACAAATTCACGTTAATAGCGTATATAACTACTACTGGTTCTAGAATAACGAGTCAATGGATACGTTGAAAACCTCAGCAGATCACATGTGTCAAGAGATTCGGCCACAAAAACAATTGCCGGCATATTACTTATATTAGCAGACAGGTGATAGTTTGATAAGTGGTGCTAGCAGTGTGTACGTTGGGTCGAGCGTTCTTTCACTTGTGAACACAACACTCGCAGGCCACGGGGCTATATACATGTACCTTAAATCTATATAAAGTCACGCACGACATACAGCCTCCCACGGAGACTATACCGCTTCGACGAGAACCGATTTATCGGTCGCATGGTGCACTAGCCAAGCTAGCACATATATGCGAAGTATAGTGTAAGTGCATGTGTGTCACACCACACGCGCCTGTAGCACGATAAACAAACAACGTCCAAATCACTAATGCTTCTTCTGACAACAGTATGATGGGGGAGGCTTACCTTGAGTGCTCAAGATCGAATCGTATAACGAGATAGATTTATATGAATATACTGATATGGACCGCAACCGTACAACACCCCCCCACCCATATATATATACATATATATATACATACATACATACATACATACATACATACATTAGTCTCGTATGTATAAAGCTAGCAAACATACCAGTGAGTCGGCGTTCATGAAGGTGGTGTTCTCAAAGATCTGCAGACAAACCTCAGCTGTATTGATGGCCATCACGAAGTCTGGATCTACAGAGAGATTCAAGTGAAGATTGAACTGGGTCAATAGACCCGGCCTTTAACCGCATAGACAACGTGTGTATTTTATTTCACAGTCCTAAAGTTAGCAAACCTACCTCGTACACCGAGTGCGCCAGTGATGATCTCAACTGTCGATGCAAACATGAGCGAGATGTCCGTCAAACGCTGTTTCTGTATGAGTTGATCGCCGAAACCTGTGTGTGTGCGCGCGCATGTACAAAGACGGGGGCACAACGTCATTGAGTGTTTGACCATAGAACATAACTGACCACACTGGCACCTTCAAACTGTCAAATAGATGTACACACAACTCCGAGCCACCACCAGCCTATTCGTACCATTCAAAAGCTTCGTGAGAGAGCTGAGCGTGTGCAGCAGCAGCATGGCCAGTGACGGTTTGCCCATCGGATCGATACAGTGAGTGTGTGCTGAGTTCTTCAGAGCTGTACTGATACGCTGCAGGTACTTAGCTGAGTCATTCCGGCTTGATTTGGCCGGACTGAGTGTAGAGAAGGTCGATAGGCTGATTAACCACGTGCTTGGCGTACTTTATGAGATGTCGGGGCGGGTAGTTGTGAGGCTACGGGCAGCACTGCATGCTAGTGTAGATTTTCTTATGACGATGAAAGTCTGTGCAAACAACTGTAGGTAAACAAACGAGACAATTTGTAATCTGTGAATGACTGTGCGCGACAGGGTTGTGTCAATGTGGTCTGTTTGCAATAGGAACGGTTTGTTTACAAAAGTATATGCTCACACGGTATTAACTAGTGTGGAAGTGTCGTATTCGAACGCGATAACAGCGAGCAATAATGTGTATCGCATCTGTAAGTGCATACAGCCAGTGCCGCCCACGCTACCAACTCAACTATATCATGCGTAAAGGTGAGATACATGTTAGGCTTTTGTATTTAAGCGTGTTGATGTATTATATATATATATACATATGTGAATTCGGCGCGTATGCACATATGCATTTGCTTCGAAAGTGAAAAAAACTCGCACAGTGTTACATGCATATTCACACACACACACGACCAATACTGAAATAGTACACGCATACACTCACACCCCATACATATGGACAAAACTACGCAAGTGCTTACATATGCAGTGTATCTGTCACCCTCCCTTTCCATCCGTGTGGACCCAGATCTCGGATCCACTTCAACAGCAGAGCCAGCCCAACCCCACGGAAGTCGGAGGTCAACGCATCGTCTGACAAGATAAGCAACGCATGCGCAACACTTACAGTCAACACCTGATGCGGTGCACGCGCCAGGTCGGAGATGGCCTGGGTATTGGGGTGGGATAAGAGTAGGATGAGTGTGATAGAGAGTGAAAATAGCGAAGCATCAGATATCCGAGCACATGCAAAATATGGAAATATCATGTTAATTTGTACTAAAAAAAAAAGGACGCTGCTCGACTTTGTATCTTCGTGCGTTTCAACATATTCGTTGATACAGGTTTACGCCCAACTATGATTCTAAGCCACCTATATTGTTCGCTTTTGCTTTTCCTCTCAAAAATACATATGAATACATGCATCAACTACATATATAAATCCACTACCGAATTGATTGTAAATTTGCTCACATATCCTCGCATCTATACTTTCACAAATGTATTCATGATGAGCGATATATGCACAGCAGTGTAGATATATGGTCTTTTATCTATAGTTCCTTCACCCCTTGAAAATGTTTGCGTACGCACACGTTTGTAACAATAAATAAATAAATAAAAATGGTTCAAACTCAATAGTTTCGACTTCACATGTCAGATATCTAATATATATACTTCTTAGTACACTTATTCATCCGGAAATATAATACTTTTATCGATCGAGCACCTCGGATAAATGCCGGATGTACCAGTGCAGCAGTAGTCAAGCCCATATATCCCAGATCGCGCCTTGACAAAACCGTGTTTATTAGCCATCTTTGTATTTGCGGCATACCACCTGACAATAAAAAAATCATGAGCATACCTTGATGGCTTGTGGCACGACGTCGTTTGCTCTCATATGCAGTCGGAATTCATTAGTACAGCACTGGGTGGCCAAGCTGGTAGCGCTGTATGGGTTGCGTATGCATCATGGTCTAGTCAGTATAATGGTCCATGCGTTCAAGGGCAACGATCATTGGATGATCAGGATTTGCATCGCATATAGACCCAAAGCAGGTCTGAAGGGTATTTGTGCATTTGTATAAGTACTGTTACATTCATGAATATCTCGCTCAACTGAAATCCTGGCCCTTTGTTTTCCACCGCTACAACTCTGTCTCACATTTGGATGAGATTTCGCATACACAACCCATACAAGTCGGAATTAAAGAAAATATACAATCTACCAACATTAATTTGCTACAAACACTGACGCCTACCCAAACAGCTCATAGCATAGCAGTATGCCGATATAGTAGCCCTGTTAATATGACTACAAGACTTCGCGTCAAGTAGTCTTGGCCATGAAATCGCTCGATTAACTGTTCCATATAAATTTTCTGCCAGCAGTTGCAACCCACATGTAGGCAAACCCACCACAAACACGCGATACACAACACACAAGGCCCCAAAACAGCCCCCCCAAAAGCAATCGCATGCACGCCACATACCTCGAACATCGCACGGAGAGGGAATTGGTTGGACCTAGACCGTCTATAATGTACCGTACCTGCGCACCATGAAAAGATGGGTCAAAATGTGCAGTGTGGAATAGGTGAGCCTGCGCAATGGTGCTAGGATTGGTATATCGAAGGAACACAACGATGACTGTACTTAGAAATCATATTGCAATAACTGCTTGTATTTTGACGGGCTTCCGACGCGATTTAGACCAAATCTCGAGCCCCATGTAAGCTGAGCCTGTGCAATTATCATGCCACAGAGTGATAACGCACAGCCCAGACTCAGAAAGCCTCTATTGAAGACGAAGATCATATATAGGCTGCATTTGCAGGACGTTGGAACACAATGAGGTTTGCAACACTGCCAGTCTCTTCCGTGCATACTACACGCATGTCTCATAACCCCAGATGTGCTACAAACATATGCATACTGCTAGTTTCAATATGATAGGAATTTACACAATAGCGGCTGCTTATAAATTTAACGCATTGCGGCCAATGGCCACATGCATTTCACAGGGAAGCACATGGAACGTAGGTTCTGAATAATCATAAGCGAGCACAACTACCCAATACAGGCATACACATGCACATGCACAGCTATAGTTACATACATGCTGTGAAAAGAAATCCATATTTATACAAAGCCGACTACATATTGCTGACATATATCTACTAATGTATCTGGAAAAGTGTAGCGACATGCGTGCGAGTACACAAATGCTTGCTCCATATATGTCATTGTACGCGCTGCTAGAAGAGAAAACACTCGTGCACATATCAAGACCCATGCCCAGGCCACCACATCAGCTCTCACACTCACCTCATCGTACAAGCCAAGGCCTGCGCCAGCCTCTGCAGCCTCGGACGAAGACGCCTCAAAGTACGTCGACTGACTCTTCTGGGTGGAGGAAGCATTCGGCTGTTTCTGTGTTGTGGCGGTGGTTGATGATTGTGATCGCCCGGTGAAGCTACCGGTGGGTGACTTGGCCTTCTTGCCGTCGGAGCCTGTTGTCTGCAAGGAGTGTGCGCATTGCAGTAGATGCATTAGATA